ATAGTTTCACTTCTTCTTTATCTGTTCTTATTCCTTTTATCTTCCCGTCTTGTCTAATAGCTCTAGCTAATGATTCTAGAACTATATTGAATATAGGAGTGATAGAGCACATCCTTGTCTTGTACCAGATTTGAGAGTAAAAGATTTCGGTTTTTCCCCATTGAGAATTATATTAGCCATTGGGTTGTCATAGATGGCTTTTATCAAATTGAAGTAGAGGCCTTCTATTCCAATTTTCTGTAGGACTTTGAACATGAATGAGTGTTGGACTTTGTCAAAAGCCTTTTCTGCATCAATGGAGATGATCATGTGGGTTTTAGATTTTGCTCTATTAATATAGTGTATTACATTTATAGATTTTCAAATATTGAACCATCCTTGCATCCCTGGGATGAATCCTACTTGGTCATGTTGTATGATCTTCTTGATGATTTGCTGTATTCTATTTGCTAGGATTTTATTGAGGATTTTGGCATCTATGTTCATGAGGGAGATCAGCCTGTAGTTCTATTTCTTAGTTGCGTCTTTCCCTGGTTTTGGTATCAGTAGGATACTTGCCTCCAGGAATGATTTTGGGAGGATTGCTTCCTTTTCAATTTCATTGAAGAGTTTAGAAGTATAGGGACTATATCTTCTGTGAATTTCTTGTAGAATTCAGCTGTGAATCTATCAGGATCTGGACTTTTCTTTGTCAGCAGGCTCTTTATTACATTTCATATTTCATTGGCTGTTATTGAGTTATTGAAAGTTGTTATATCTCCTTGATTCAGTTTTGGTAATTTGTACCTTTCTAGGAATGTTTCCATTTCTTCTGTGTCTTCTATTGTGTGAGAGTAAACATTCTCAAAGTAGCTATTGATAATCTTCTGAATTTCCACTGGGTCTGTGGTAATTACACCCTTTTCATTCCTTATTGCTTGTATTTGAATTTTTTCTTTTCTCTTTTTGATGAGGTTAGCTAGGGGCTTATCAATTTCATTTAATCTTTCAAAGAACCAGGGTTTTGATTCTTTAATTCTTTTAACTGTTTTCTTCATCTCAATTGAATTAATTTCTGCTGTAATCTTTATGATTTCTTCCCATCATTGGGCTCTGAGTTTGGTTTGTTTTTCCTTTTCTAGATGTTGGAAGTACAGCATTATGGTGTTCATTTGTTCCCCTTCTGTTTTCCTAATGTGTGAGTTCACAGCTATGAATTTTCCTCTGAGAACTGCTTTCATCGCATCCCATAAATTCTGATAAGCTGTGGATGAATTTTCATTGAATGGTAGATATTTTTGAATTTCTTGTTTAATTTAATCTGTGTCCCATTAGTTGCTGAGTAGGGTGTCGTTCAATTTCCATGTATTTAGGGTTTTTTTCTGGTTTCTTTTGTCATTTATTTCCAGTTTCATTGCACTGTGGTCAGATAATATACATGGGATGATTTCTGGTTTTTTTTGCATATACTTAAGCATGACCTATGGACCAGTATGTGTTCTATTTTAGAAAATGACCCATGTGCAGCTGAAAAAAATGCATATTCTGCTGTGGTTGGGTGGAACACTCTGTATATGTCTACCAAGTCCATTTGTTCCAAGCTCTGGTTCAGTTTTCCTACTTCTTTGCTAATTTTTTGTCTGGTTTTTGTATCTTTTTGGGATAAAGGGGTGTTAAAGTCTCCTGTTAAGATTGTTGTATTGGATATTAGATTTTTCATGTCTAGGATGGTTTGTCTAATATAGTTCTTTTCTCCCGTGTTTGATGCATACATATTTATGAGTGTTATCTCTTCCTCTTGAATTTTTCCCCTAACCAGTATATAGTGGCCTTCTTTATTTCATTTGATCATCCTTGGTTTGAAGTTGAGACTGTCGGAGAACAGGATTGCTACCTCTGCTTTTTTCTGAGGTGCCTGGGCATGTAGTATTGTTTTTCATCCTTTGACTTTCGGCCTATGAGTTTCTTTATGATTTAAGTGTGTTTCTTATATACAGCATATTGTTGGGGTTTGTTTCCTAATCCACTGTGCTAATCTATTTCTCTTAATTGATGAATTGAGAGCATTTATATTGATGGTTATAATTGAGATGTGCTGACTTACAATTGACATGTTATTTACCTGCTGTTTTTTTTTTTTTAACTCCTTTTTCTCCTGTGTTTAATTGTTTGCCCTACTTAGTGGGTTCCTTCTGTTCTCATTGATGCAGTTCTGATCATTTTGGTCCCTCTGTAGAAAATGTTTCAGTGGCCTTGTAGGGTTGGCTTTGCCTTCATGAAATTCTTTAGTTGTTCTTTGTCATGAAAGTATTTCACTTCCCCATCAAACTTGAAACAGTGTGTTGCAAGGGTATAGTAGTTTTGTTTTCATGGAAGACTTGAAGTACTCTGCTCCATGCTGTTCTTGCCTTCATGGTTTGTGAAGAGAAGTTGGCTGTAATTCTGATGGGATTTCCTTTGAATGTGATCTACTTCTTTTCTCTAGCAGCTTTCAGTGCATTATTCTTGTGTTGGATTTCTGATATTTTGACTATTATATGTCTCGGTGTGTTTTTAATTGGGTTGAAGTTATTTGGTGTTCTGTATGCTTCGGTTACCTGAATGTCAGATTGTTGCCCATATTTGAAAAGTTTTCTGCTATTACTCCTGCCCATATAGTTTTTATATCATTTGTATTGTCTCCTTTCTCATTGATACCTATTAGTCTCACATTGTTCATCTTTGCATCGGCTTGGAGGTGATGAATTATTTTTTCTGCATCCTAGTTGTTTTTAAGAGATCTTTTCTTACCTTTTCACTAGCTGCACCAGAGTCTTCAAGATCTGAAACTCATTCTTCATTTTCACTCAAATGGTTTTGTAGGTTTGTGATTGAGATTTTAAGTTCCTCTACATCTCTTTGACTCTGCTTCATGCAATCTAATTCTTTCATGTATTTCTCATTCAAGGAATCCATCATTTTTTAATCTCCTGTATTTTTTTAAATAAATGTCTTCTTTAGAAGCAGTTATTAAATTCTTTTACTGCAGAGTTTTTTCAGTTTGGGTTTCCTCCATATGTTTCTGTATTTGATTCTGTAGTTCAGATGCTATGAATTCAAAGATTTCTTTTTTCATTTCAGAAATTAATTCTGCTTTGAGTTCCTTTAAACCTTTCTGTTATTGCTTATTTGATATTGACACTATTAATTCATATATTTCAACAGGGCTAGTGTCCTCTGCACTTGTTATGTGTGGGCATTGTGTTTCCTCCATATGTTTCTACATTTGATTCTTTATTTCAGAGGCTATGAATTCAGAGATTTATTTTTTTGTTCCAGAAATTAATCCTGCTCTGAGTTTCTCTATATCTTTCTGCTGTTGTTTATTTGCTTCCAACACTATTAATTCATATATTTCAGCTGATCTAGTGTCCTTGTTATGGGTGGGCTCAAGGCTTGAGATTGCATTGTGCTCCTTGTCTTTATCATTTCATATAGCACTGACCTCTGACCTTTGGTGTAGAGCTTTGGTGCAGTTATATCCTTATCACCTAATGAAATTCAGGTACTGATATACCAAGTTCTAGTTCATACAATTGTGCTTGGCTTGGGTCTGGCTACTGTGCTCAGCTCCTTATTATTGTTGCCCTTGGAGATGGGCCTGCTGTACCCCTCTGGTAAGATGTCCTGTTCCTGGATTAGCTGTGTGCTTTTGACCCTAGTCTCAAAGCAGGGCCTTTAGCTGCAGGGTTTCACCCCAAGCCTGTATGCCAGGCCTGGGCTGGGTCTGAAGGGGTGTGAGACGGGGGGGGGGCGAGAGAGTGCAGAAGCTCTCCCACACACTCACCATGGCTGTGCTTTTGTGGGTCAGCAGGACTCCTAAGAGCATGATAGAAGGTCTCACTCACCGGGTGGGCTGTGCTGGGTCTGGACTGGTGGGAGAGGTCTGGAGAACTTGGGGGAAGGCCTCTCTGCCTGTGGAATTTTATTAGGCTTCTATTTCTTGGGAGATTTTTGGATTTTTCCCAGGGCTTGACCCTCAAGCTCTTCTCATCAAGGTTGGCTTTCCAAGCTGCTCTAAAGGTGACTACAGTTAACAAAGACAGGACTGGGGGAGGTGTGTTGGCACTTCATCTCCAGGGTGTTCCTTCAACATCAGTTTTGGGAGAGATACTTGCTTTTTCCTATTGACCCTGTTTCTTTTGCCCATTAGGCAACCCCTCAGGGTTCAGAGGCTGAACTACTAAATACACGTGTTAGGTCCCAAAGTAAGCAGGCAGAAGTGGACGTCAGCAACGCAGCAGTAGCACGCAGTTGAGCAGAGCTAGATCCACCTACGCATCTATTGGTAACTCTCTTACAGGTTGTCATCACCTATTTACATTGAAGCAGAGTGTCCTAACCAGCACACGTGTGTTTACCTGTGCTACGCCTCAAAGCGCACTTACATGCCCTAAGCTTTGGGCACTTTGATGTCGTGCTCCACTGTGTGTGAGGCCCAAATGCTCCCACACTGAATTCCCCATTCTCCTTTCCACCAGATCCTAGACCAAAACTCAAAACCTATGAAAATAGAATGTGCAGAACACCTAGAGATTTTGTCTCCTATGCCAAGCAATGGTGGTAGCTCAGGGGATCCCTCTGACTTGCAGAATTAGATAGTCCACTGTCAAGTGGATAGACATTTTGTAGTATTATTGTATATTAATAATTTCAGGACAGGTACTTTTAATATTCCACTGGTCCTCTGAGTGTAACCTAAGTATATAGCCTGTGCTTATCACCACAGAACACATTAGTGTCCAGACAAAGCTCTCTTCATGACAGTGAAGGCTACCTACTTTGGCAACACAAAGCCTTCCCTCAGTTTTTGAATAATGAAGCAAGTAAGGATTGCTGGCTTCACAGGAAAGATGTCCTACTCTTAGGCAAGGCTTCTGACTCGGCTGGCGGTCCAAGCCCCTCATCGTTGGTACAGAATTTCCTGCTGCAATGGTGGCCCTCTGTGGTCACTGGCTGATCTGTCCCCATCCTCCCAACAGCTTCCTCACCATGTCTCCATCCCAGGTGGGCTGTACCCATTCAGGGTCATCACTGTGTCTGGCATTGTCCTGCAGAATGCTAAGAGGTAAGACAGGACCTCCAGTGGTCTCAGGGAGGAGGGAGCCATCCCCTGCTTCCAAGGAGGTGGGTAATGAGTGGGAGAGGGATCACCTGACTTCAGGGGACACAGAAGGTCCACATGATCTACCCACCCCAGATTCTACATCAACTTTTGCACGGAGAGTGATATCGCCTTCCACTTCAACCCTCGATTTGATGAGAATACTGTGGTCCGGAACACTGAGATCCAGGGTGTCTGGGGGACAGAGGAGCGAAGCCTGCCCTTCAACATGCCCTTCAGACAAGGACACAGCTTCACGGTGAGATGCTGCAGCCTGAGTGTGGGCACCAGGCCGGGTGCAAGGATAGCAGTGCTGAAGCTGCCTGGGGCTTCCTTCAATGGGTGGGGCTGATGCCTGTGATAGGAGGGTTGGGCCCCAAGGGAGAGAGAATGAGCCACAGACTGTTCTTATTTTATGATGATTGTCTCCAGGTTGGCAAAGGTTAACATCTAATTTTTATAGATGAACAAATCAAATCACAGGATAATTTGCTTGCCAAAGATCACACAGCCCATTTCTGCCCCATTGTACTCAAGAATGAGGTGCCAATCATTTATCTCCTTGTTAACCCAGCAGTCATTTATTAGCTCTTTGATTTGGTCCAGGAAATGCCTGATGTGCAGGAATGCAGGCAGGGACATGGGGACACAGATGGCACCAGCCAGGCCTGCTGCCCTGGTGGTCTGAGGAGGCATTTGGTCATGTGGTAGGGAGCTATTGGGGGCAGGGAAGGCTGCCAAGTGGGGGCTGGGTCCTGAGGTGCCTGGCAGTGATGCACAGGCAGAGATGCAGGCTGAGAGCAGCACTGAGGGCTGGGAACCATGGGTGCTGAGGGCCCAGTGAGGAGAACACAGGATGTTTAAGGAGGGGCGGGTGCTTCAGTTAGGGAAGTCCACAGGGCTGTTTGGGGGAGAGGAAGGAGTTTTTAAGGAGGGTCCCTGAGGCTCAGGAGGCTGAGGACTTTCTGCATGGAGTGTGAGCACAATTCCTCTTTGCCCAGGTGTCGATCACATGTCAAGCTGAGTGCTACAGTGTGAGGGTGGATGACCAACACCTGCTGGATTACGCCCACCGCCTGAAAGGCCTGCAGGCCATTGGTCACTTAGAGGTGGGGGGTGATCTTGAGCTTTCTAAAGTGAGTGTCTAAGCAGCCTCCCTGGCTGGTGCAGCGCTGTCTGCACCTTCTCCAGCTCCTCTTCCATTCCCTGCTCCAGCTTCTGGAACCCTGACCTCTGAGGTAGGCTGCCCCTCCCTGTAACAGCAGGCAAAGCCCAGTTCTTTTCCTCTTGCATAGTGGGGCTCCTGAGACTGCTGAGCCCCCAGCAAAGGCCCACGCTATATATAGCTCTCAATTGTCCTCCCACCCTCTGTGCAATGCCTCTTGGGTCCCAGGCCACAGCTGTGCACTGCAGTGATGAGGGGACCTGCACAGCCTTCCCCAACCCAATCTTATGACCTTAATCTATCTCCTTGGCTTTGCACCCTGCTGTCCCCAGCCCCTCTGGGAAGGCTGCTTGGTGACATCGTGCTGGCTTCTCCCAGCCCACCAGAACTTTGTCAGACAGGCTGCTTCCTTTCCTGGAAAATTTAAAATAAAGAGAATACTGTCCTGCTGGTACCGTGACTGACTGTTTTATGAGTGTGCCTGGAGACATTTTGAATTTTCAGGAATTGGGGTTCCCTGACCAGTGGAACACTCAAACACAGCATTCTTTCTTTTTGGGCAGTGAGGTCCTGAAATTAACACCTACACCAACAGGATTCCGTGAAGCCCGTGAGAACACTGTACAAGTAAGCTGGGGCTCTGGCCTCATGAGAAAGTGTCCCTGACATGGGCACCTTGATATCCTGGGGAACCCAGGAAATATCCTCCTGTCATTGAGAAGAGAGAAGACTGAGACAGAGTCTGTGGGTCCAGGTCAGAGGCAAGAATCCAGACAACCTGTGCCAAGTGTAGGGCAGGCCAATGGGGCCCTAGTCTGAGGGGTGGGTGTGCAGGAGCTAAGAGCTGGGGGATCAGAGGTCTGCCAGCCCCAGGTGGGTGTCCAGCCCTGCACCCTGGTGATCCCATCCAGATCTTACTCCCTTGGGGGTGGTGCTCAGGGGGGTCAGCTTCAGCAGGGGGCTGGTTAGCCAGGCAGCATCAAAGATCCTCCACAGATCTTCTAACAAGGAATCTGCATTTCAGCCGTATCTAAGGGGTCTCATGTGCTTGCACTAGGGTCTCCCGGCCCGGGTCTAGGTGGCTGCACTCTTAGCCACACTGTTTTAAAGTCCTGGCTTCTGGTCGGGGAACAGACATTTTCTGGGTCACCAAAGGTTGGTCCGATCCTGTGCTTCACCCACACTGAGGTCTTTGCTGTCAGAAAAGGAAGGAGAGATGGGTGGGAGAAGCAGGGAAGAGTGGGGAGCACATGAGTGAGCCTTGGCCAGCCGCACTCTGGCCCCCAGTGGAGCTCCTTCCTTGGTTCTGAGCAGGACACTGGCTCTGCCTCCTCCAGAGCTGCCTGGTTGGCTGCACCCCAAAAGGCCTGGGCTCTCAGCAGGCAGGAATGCAGGTGCCCTCCACCTCATCTCCTACAGGAGGTCACACCTGGTTTCCTGCATGCCAAATCACCACTGGCCAAACCTAACCAAACAGGTGACAGCAGGGCAAAAACCTTTCTGACGGGGCTTAGAGGACAAGGCCCTGAATGACCAGCTGACCCTGGGGCAGCACTCCCCACCCACTTGGACAAAGTTGCTTCCTGTGGAGGTGCAGCTCCCACTCTCGGCTGGCTGTTTCCCTCCACCCTCTTGGGTGAGCATAGAACTCCATGCCCTGCCATTTCAAAGAGAAGTCACAGCATAGTCTAAGCTGTGGCTGGCAAGGTCCTTTGTGGGGTACTGCACGCAGCTAGTGGCCCAACCCTGACCACACTAGAGCTTGTGGGTGCTGTGCCTGAAGTGCTGCCTCAGTGTCAGCATGCATCGGAGCATGCACACGCTTGTGCGCGCGCGCACACACACACACACACACACACACAACCGACCTTGGGAACAGATAGGGGTGTTTTAATACAGAAGCACAAATACTATGTACAGAGCCCAGAATTCACGGTGTCATCATTTCACCCCCTAGTGGCCACTCAAACTGCTGCCAGCACAGGAAGTTTGCAGTCCTCTGAGACTTAGCATTGCAGATTCCTCTCCGTGGAGCCAGGGGGCGAGCAAGCTCCAGGGACAGAGGTGGCTCCATTCAGTCCTGGGTATCACTTGGTGTCAGCTCATGTAAAATATATGTGATGAAATTTATCATTTAGACCATGCTGAGGGAGCAATTAGGGGCATTGTGTGCATTTACACTGCTATCCCAGCATCGCCACATCCAGCTCTGGATGTTTTCAACTTTCCCAATTGAGTTCTGCATCTGTCAAACACACCTGCCTTTGTCTCTTCCCAGGCAACTACCCATCTTAGCTTCATGAATTAATGATATTCTAAGGGGTATTTTTATGACACTGGCATTCTATTTATTTTTACAATTTTCTTCTAAGTAAAAGAAATCACAATGATTTTCACCTAATGGTAATGAATCAAAATGTTGCTCGATTTGCCCCCAGGGTCTCCCTCTGACATATACCGTGATCCTCCCCTGGTGCTGGTAAGTGCGGGCAGCCGCAGCTCCCGGCCTACTGTAATCACAGGAAACCACAGAGTCCTGCTGCCTGGTGCGTTGCTGAGCATCATGCTCCACAGGCCAGGCACATTCACCGCATTTTCCATTTGATCACATTTCAGCTCATGATGGGTTCCTCCAGCTGTAACCCTCAGAGGTGCGAGTCCTCACTGTGGGATTATTCTGGAAAGGGCAAGGTAGGTCCCATCTGCTGTTCCCTGAGGCTGCCAGGAATGGGAGGGGACTGTAAAGAGTGCCTCAGTGACAGCCCAGACCCTGAGCTGTCCTTTGTCCTGTAGACAAGAAGTCTACAGCACCCACAAGCAGCTGCCCCTGCTTCACCTTAAGACCAGTATTTCAAAGTGCACAGAGCTGTTCACACATTCTGCACCAGACCCTGTTCTCAGTGCTACATGTCCTCTGCTGCTTTGTTGTTTTTGCAGTTTCAGATGTGAGCAGGAAATCTGAGGCCCTAAGAATGATGTCCTTTGCTCAAGACCCTACAGCCTTTAATGCCGTCTTGAATAAGGGCAGCCATGGGCTCCTTTAAAACTCAAGGCCTCCGTCTGGGTTTGTGGCTCAGAGGCACAGCCTTGGCCTAGCATGCACAAGGAAGAGGGCTTAATCCTAGACTGCAAAACAGAACTTAATCCCAGGGCTTTCAGCACTACAGGCAAAGGATGAATGGACACCAAGAGGCTGACAGGATCCAGGCCTCTGCTGTGGAGCTCACAGCAATCTCTGCCTGATGCGCAGACAGCAGTGAGCTTGTCATCTTCCCTAGGAATCCACAAGCATGAGAAGACCCAAAGAACTTCTTGGTGAAAAGCAGCAGCCCCTCCTCCTTGTCGCTGTCCAGCTTCTTGCTCCCTTGGCTCTTCACTCCTTAGCTCTCTTCCTTCTGCTATAGAACTTGGACAGCTTTCTCTTTACTCACTTATTCTTAAGGATGGCTTTGAGTGTCTGTGATTAAATCTCCTAGCTGTGCCTGTAGACTGAGGCACCGGTGAGATGAGAAACAGTGTGAATGCCCTCAGGAAGGACGCTGGGAGCCATGAGCCCTGAAAGCTAGCTTGCCGGATTACATTCTCCTCTTTGTGGATCTCCTATTCCCTCAGTTATTCAAAAGCTCATGGCTTTGTTGATCTCACATTTGGACCGTGGCTTTCGTAGGCAGTTTCAGATCTTTCCTGTAGTTCCTCATCATCCCCGCCCAGCCTTTAGGAGATGGGTTATCACTATCTTGTCCAGGTTGCTTCTGTAGCAGCCTTGCTGGAAGCATCTAGCGTCTTTTCTTTGTCTTTGCTTGCTTTAGTTCTTTTTCTCTTGTTTCTGAGACAAAATACCTGACCCCAAATTAAGGAAGGAAATGTATAGTTAGCTCACAGTTTGTGGATGTTTCAGTCCATAATCAGCTGGCTCCAAGGCGGGGTGGCACATGGCACAAGGGTAGCAGTTTAAGGTGGAAAAAAGACAGCAAAAGCAGCAAGAGCTAAAGTGGGGAGGAAGGAGAGAAAGGCTCTCCTCCTGCCTTCCTGTGTACGCATGCTGCCACCCCCTAGGGCGGGGTAGCACTGCACCATCGCGGTGCCTTCCTCTCGCACAGGATGTTGATGGTTACCAAGTGAGCACCCTGGCCGCCTGGTGGGTCACTTTGTTAAACTTCTTTAGTTTTCTCCAGTTGATGTGTATCAACTATTCCAATGTTATAGGGAGAGTTCATTAAAACATGTGAGTGTACGCTGTTTCTTTTTTAGTGAGCTCCTTCCACTGGGTCTTTTCATCCATTTCTTTTTTAAGTTTCTGGGGCAAATTCATTTTCTCTTCAATCATTCCCACTCTATTTCTTATTTTCTCTTGTCAGAGCTCCCATTTGATAGACTTTGGTTCTTCTCACTGAGTCCTTTGCCACCTTTTCTATTTTCCTTCCCTGTCTAAATAAGCCTGTAACTGGAGAGCCTCCTTGACCATCTTATTCTAGCACTTCTCACATTTGGTCCCCAAATTCTCTTTTCAATTTCAATCCTTCTCTTTCTTTACTTAATTTCGCGCAGCCTTGTCCTGTTTCATAGCATCACTTCCTGTGTGTACCACACCCATATGCATATGCCTATGCACACCCACCCACCCACAGAGAGGGATTTTGGCTGATTTATCTTTGATATCTGCAGTTTTCTTGATTTAGCAGCCAACCCATGGGCCCTGTTGTATCTAGGAGCAGACTCTTACATTACTGAGTGTCACAGGTTGTGTGAGACTCAGCTCTTGCCACTGAGTGTGGCCAATGGGACATCTGTCCTGCTGGTTTCCTGTTGTCCCTCCTTGTCTCTCCATCATCCATCTGGTCAACCCGGGGCTCTCAGCTTCATTGCAGTCCCACCCTGCACATATTCTGCAAACTGCCCTTGGGCAGTATGAAACACTGCCCTTTCCAACTTCATCTTCCAGAAGCCAGTCGCTGCCACTCCTGCTGTCCTTTCTCACTGGCCAGGGCTGTTATTTCAGCAGAGAAAGTGCCTGAGGAAGAAAGAGGGAGCCAGAGAGCTCATACATTTCATTTTGAATTGGAAGCACAGACGATGTTGGCAGGGTCTTCCTGGGGCCACTAGCCAGGGCCCTTGAGAGCACCATAGGGGTACTTTGTGGGTGGCCCAGTCCTGGCCTCCTTCCCAGCCAGTGCATGCACCACTAATGGCCACTCCTTCTGCATCACATCCTGTTGCCTGCTGGACTTTGGACCTACAGGAGAGGCCCAGCTTCAGCCTGCTGATGCACATGCTGGAGAAGCTCCCCAAGCTGAACTGGCGGCTCTTGCTCCCCGGGCACTTCTGGAGGTCAGCTGAGTAAGTACCGCCTCGGAGAGCTGCCTCCCCTGGGATCTTGGAGGGGCTCTGAGCTGCAACTGCCCAGACTTTTGTGGACTTCACAGGAGAGATTACCCAGAGAGATGCCAAGAGTGTATTTAT